CAAAAAATTTCTACCCAAGGGCCATCACATAAAAAATCACAGAAAAAGTCCTAATCAGCTCTGAGACAGTTGTAAAAGGTACAGTGATAGGGGGATCCTAATGATGAAGGAGATAACAGTTTTAGAGAGACCAAACCATGATCAGAAGCATTTAAAGGTGAATGTAAAGAAACTGAGCACTGACTAGGATTGGAAACAAGCCGTAAATCAAGTAGAGAAGGTAAATAATTCAGATTGTCTGGAGAGCGAAATGGAAAGTTGACTATTTGTGTTAAAGATTAAGAAAAGCAAAAATCGTGGGCCTTAATGCCTGCAGAGTCATTGACATCAGAGCCAAGCCATTCAGTGTGATGAACATTAAGGTACCTAAAGCAACTTTTGTATTTTGTTAAATGTTTGTTTTTCCTAATGCATTTCTAATATATCTTGCTTAAAATTTTAAAGTAATGTTTATAGGTAGTAATTCCTTTTAACTACTACAGGTCAGGTCAGGTTCAGGATCATCACGATCACCATGCTACTGATATCATGTAACCCAGTACAACCTGCCCCATGCTCCGCTGCCTTGTAGGATTTGCTTTTACAGGCAGAGGCTAGGAAAAACAAATTCTGACTTTAAAATCCCCTGCTTTAGGGCTCATGGCTGAGTAAATGCAAGAAATGGTATCTCGATAAAATTATACATCTTGGGTAGATAATAATTGCATCCAGCTACTGTCTTGTAGAAAACCTCAAAGACAAAGACTTAAGGGGTAAGCAGAATAATTCTGCTAACCAGCCTCAGACCCCATCTTCATCTATTGCTGGTGTAAATGTAAACCTGCGTTACATTGTTTCCTGCATAGGATGATGCATGCTAGATCTATTTGGCTCTAGTCAAAGATTTTGAGGCCTGCTGGTAGTAAGATTTCTCAAATACTTTGGTAGCTTTCAGAGAGGCTGATTTCATTAACAGTTGTAAAATGTCAGAGTATTAACAGTGCAATGTTGCACATGGATGGTGTCTCTGTTAATGCTTTTGGTGCGCATTGTAGATACTACATAAGAAGCCCTACGATAGAACTTTGGGTTAATTAGCAGGATTGAGACATTTGCATAGCTCATTTCTTATGATGCCGTGCTCTATGAATGAGTCAAGTTCTGATAAACAACTGTTTTAATATATCTTTAACAAACAATCTGCAAATTTTACCTTTTGCAAAATTGACCAAACTGTTTGTTAGACTAATTTTTTGCCCTTAGACTTAGTTTTCACCTTCTTGTGCAGCTTTCTTATGCACAAAGGATTAGGCTGAATTATTTACCAAGAATATTTTCTTCTAATTTGAATCTTGAATCTTATAGCCATTTTCTTCCTTCCATTCTGATTAAACAGGTTGACCCATTGTTAGACATTCAAATCACTCCAGCTTCCATTGCTAAAGTCATATCTCAATTAAATTCTTCTACGTTTTGTTGTGCTGACAACATTCCTGTCATAGTCTTACAAAATTGCTCTCAAATCAAAAACTTTCAAATCTCCCTTAACTATTTAATTAGTGCTTGACTGGTTCTTGTTTTCCTGCTTGCTGGAAAATGGCATCTGTGGTTATAATTTCAAAAAAATCTGGAGAATATTCAGACCCCTCCAGTTATCATTCAATCAGTTTTCTGTCTATTATTAGCAAGATCTTTAAATCTTTTATCAATAAATTTCCAACATCCCATCTTGAGTCAAATAACTTACTGTCAAAGAATCAATACATTTTTTAATCCTCTTGCTCTATGGCTGACTTGTAAACTGCTATGACTGAAAGATTTTATTGCGCATTAGATGGAGGCGGAGAGAGCTTTCCTAGTCTCTTTAGGATTACTGCCTCATAATAAATGCTCAGTTAATATAGCTGCACTCCTTTGCGGCAGCAGGTTATAAAATATTCCATGTATGTAGTTTAGCGCCTGGCAGCAGGCTATTTCAGTGTGACATTAGAGATGTAATCTAAACACACAATCATAATGGCTTTTTGAAGCAGGTTTTTTTTTATTTAAAAATTTAAAAACTTCAGTTTCTTTTAATTTAAAAACTTAATGTATCTTTTTTTTATTATAGTTATAGTGAGTTTTTGATTATAGTGAGTTTGAGCATTTTCTTTTCAATGCAAAATGCGTTTTAAAATCACATTTAATTTTTAATTCAAAATGCAAATTTTTTTATAGGCTATCATAATAATCTTTTTCAGCATTTTCCAGATTGTTTGATTCGATAATGCCTAAAATATATTTTATTATATACATTTGATTTTTTTTTTTTTTTGTATCATTATTTTAAACATAAATATTTTGAATTATCTGAATAGATTAAATTTGCAATTTCAGACTTCCAAATACAACAGTTTAGAAACTAAACTATTTTTTAAAGGTTAATGTAATTTAATACAATTTTTATATAAAAATACACAAAACTAGTTAACTAACACTCAGCCAATATTCAGTGACCTTTGTGTGTCAACACAAGTATTTTTTGGTATGTAAAAAACACCAAATTTACTGCCTATTGATAATACATAAGCTTTAAAACAGCATGATTGAGATGAGAAATAACAATTCAAGCTTTGACAGTTTCAGAAATATTTTTCTTCGTATTCAAAGTCTAAACAGCCTATTTAGATTTTCAGTACAATCATTTACAGAACCCAGTATTGGTGTAGTGGTTGGAGGCGCCTTAGTTACTGTATTAGCTCATCTGTAATCTACTTCATATGTATGTTTGTGTTCTGTCTAAACATCTGGCGCGGTGTTGACAGAAAATTTCTGCTAACCAGCCTCAAAGCCTTTCTTCATCTATTAGGCTGGCATAGATGTAAACCTATGTTACATTGTTTCCTGCCTAGGATAATGAATGCTCGATCTTCTTGAATCTACTCATAGACTTTTGCTTTTGAATCCTTGATAGTGGCTATGTAACTCTTCCTGTTATCTCCTTATGAGGGTACAGCTCTAAAACTAAGTTTAATGGTCCTGACACTGGCTGGTAGTAAGGCTTCTCGAACTCTGTGGTAGCTCTCAGAGAGGCTAATTCTATAAACAGCTGCAAAATATCAGAGTATTAACAGTGCCATGTTGCCCATAGATGGTATCCCTGTTAATGCTTTTGGTGTGCATTATTGAGATCACATAAGGAGCCCTATGTCATGACTTAGGGTTAATTAAAAGGACTGTGACAACGACATAGCTCATTACTTAGGAGGCTGTGCTCTATCTACGAATGAGTCTAAATTCTGCAATTTCTTCTTCAGATGTCAATGTTGATGAGTACTATCATTTGGTTCACAAAGACTCCAATAGTTACATGCTAGGCTTGGGGGTATACATACGCATTAATTCCCTTATTTGTGGTGAAATCAGGTACAAATTCTTTGACCATTCTTTTATGTGCTTCCACCTAGCACCTCTTCACTCTATCACCTTTTTCTTTGTTCTTTATCGCTCTCCTTCTTCCCATGACTGCACTCTTTTAGATGTTATCTCTGATCAAATTGACCATGCCCTCTCTCCTTCCCCCTCTGCCAATATTGTTATTGGTGACTTTAATGCCTATCACTCTGAATGGCTTGGCTCTAACACCACTGATCCTGCTGGCACTAAAGCCTATAACTTCTGCGTTTCTCAAACTCTTACTCAAATAGTTAACTTTATGACTTGTTTTCCTGACAACCCATAGAAACCATACATACAATCAATTGCTAAACTAGCTTCCGCTAAGGTTGCTAATTCTTTACCGTGCTCGCCATTTTCTTACTCCTGATTCTTTTCTCGACCTCTACAAATCTCTTATTTGTCCCAATATGGAATACTGTTTTCATATCTGGGCTGGTTCTTTTAATGATGCTCTTTCTCCTCTAGACAAGGTCAAATTGTAAACGTAGTTGGACTCGGTCTATCTGTTAAGCTTGAGCCTCTTTCCCACCGCCATGAAGTTGCATCTCTTTCTCTTTTCTACAAATACTATTATGGTCACTGCTCAAAGGAGTTATCATCTCTAGTTCCATCAACTAAAACTCATTCTCGTTTGACTTGTCATTCAGCTAAGTCTCATTCGCTTACTGTATTTGTTCCTGCATGCTTTAAAAACTTTTGCTCGTCTAGTTTTTTCACCCACTCTTCAATCATTTGGAACTCTCTCCCATCTTCATGTTTTACTGACTCATACAATTTACAACATTTCAACTCTTCTGTCAACCGTTTCCTTGCTCAATAACTCTATTCTTTTATTCCTAATAACTCCCAACTTAATAGTGTTTGCTTGCAGCCTTGTTGGGAGTGAATGCAAATAAAAAAAAAGAAAAAAAATAGTTGAAGTGAAGATTTTTAGTGACCCCAATTTTTTACTAAATCACCCAAAATATAATACAATTAAAAGTGTTCCAATACATTTGGTTTATTTTTAAATCCAAAAATGTCATACACTGAAACTCATTAGAATTACACACACATGAAAAAAGTTATCAAGTGTGTTGTATGTGGCATATATTATGAAAACTCAGAGAACCAAATTAAAACAAACAACTTCGACCGAAACAGTTTTAATATATTTTTTATTTTTAATCAAAAAAATATAGTCAAAAGTAAGTTATTTAAATTTTCTTCAATATGAACACGACTTGTTTGGCACTTGGAGATCCCTTAAACCTTTTGCTTATTGTATTTAAAATGAATTTTTTAATTAAAAAGTATATCAAACTGGGTCTCAAATAAACGCAAATATTATGGAAATTGATGTGTGTGTGTGTATGTGTATATAAATATATATATATATATATATATATATATATATATATATATATATATATATATATATATATATATATATAAAATTTACTGTGCACTTAGCTAAAAAAACTTAGCGCACTTAGGTTAGTGCTCTGACATCATAATAAAATAGCCTGCTGACTAACCTTTTATATACTAAATATATAAAAACATATATTAACATAAAATAAATAATAAAGATATTTAATTACCGTATTTTTTCTGAATCTGATAAGTAATCTAAAATTAAAAAATTTTTTAAATTTATTTAAAAATTAAAAAACTCAACAAAATAAAAACATTTAAAGAAACTTGAGAAACAAATTCCAGTAAGAAAAAAAACAAAATAAAAACTATTATTACTGTTTAGTTAATCTCATTGTTTAGTTAATCTTATTGTTTAGTTAAACTTACTGTTTACTAAGTCTTACTGTTTAGTTAATCTTACTGTTTAGTTAATCTTATTGTTTAGTTAATCTTATTGTTTTGTTAATCTTACTGTTTAGTTAATCTTATTGTTTAGTTAAACTTACTGTTTACTAAGTCTTACTGTTTAGTTAATCTTACTGTTTAGTTAATCTTAGTATTTAGTTAATCTTTTTGTTTAGTTAATCTTACTGTTCAGTTAATCTTGCTGTTAAGTTTATCTTACTATTTAGTTAATCTTACTGTTTAGTTAATCTTACTGTTTAGTTAATCTTAGTATTTAGTTAATCTTTTTGTTTAGTTAATCTTACTGTTTAGTTAATCTTACTGTTAAGTTTATCTTACTATTTAGTTAATCTTACTGTTTAGTTAATCTTACTGTTTAGTTAATCTTACTGTTTAGTTAATCTTAGTATTTAGTTAATCTTACTGTTTAGTTAATCTTACTGTTTAGTTAATCTTAGTATTTAGTTAATCTTTTTGTTTAGTTAATCTTACTGTTTAGTTAATCTTACTGTTTAGTTAATCTTACTGTTTAGTTAATCTCACTGTTTAGTTAATCTTACTGTTTAGTTAATTTTACTGTTTAGTTAATCTTATTGTTTAGTTCATCTTATTATTTAGTTAATCTTACTGTTTAGTTAATCTTACTGTTTAGTTCATCTCATTGTTTAGTTAATCTTACTGTTTAGTTAATCTTAGTATTTAGTTAATCTTATTATTTAGTAAATCTTACTGTTTAGTTAATCTTATTGTTTAGTTAATCTTACTGTTTAGTTCATCTCATTGTTTAGTTAATCTTACTGTTTAGTTAATCTTATTGTTTAGTTAATCTTACGGTTTATTTAATCTTACTGTTTAGTTAATCTTTTTGTTTAGTTAATCTTACTGTTTAGTTAATCTCACTGTTTAGTTAATCTTATTGTTTAGTTAATCTTACTGTTTAGTTAATCTCATTGTTTAGTTAATCTCACTGTTTAGTTAATCTTACTGTTTAGTTAATCTCATTGTTCAGTTAATCTTACTGTTTAGTTAATCTTACTGTTTAGTTAAACTTACTGTTTAGTTAATCTCACTGTTTAGTTAATCTTACTGTTTAGTTAATCTTATTGTTTAGTTAAACTTACTGTTTAGTTAATCTCATTGTTCAGTTAATCTTACTGTTTAGTTAATCTCATTGTTTAGTTAATCTCACTGTTTAGTTAATCTTAATGTTTAGTTAATCTTACCTCCAAATTTCTTCTCTATTTTAACTACTATATCATAACGCTTAAAAGCTATCAACTCTTTTTTTAATTGCTCCCATGATAAGTTGCCGTTTTTTTGCTTCCACTTTATCAAAACATAATCAGCTTTCTCATAACATTTTCTATAATCAGAGCCAATGTTATCAAGATCTGAATCACTTAAGCCTAAATGTCTTCCCCATAGCAACCAATCACTTCCAATCTTATAGCTTATTTTACCACAGCATTTTGAAATCAATTCATCATAAGTCAATTTTTTTCTTGACACTAAATATAAGAAAACTTTTTTTTTGCACCTAGGGATGGCTAATGGTCAAATGGGAAGAGGGGGCAACTAAGCATTTTACTAACCACTTTTCTTTTTTTTTTTCTATGCTTTTGCTAAAAACAAAAAGACTGGTCACTTATCTATATGTTTAAAAACTATAAAAAAGAACTGGTCACTTATCTATATGTTTTTAACAAAAACAAAAAAAATGAAGGAAAGAAAAGGGAAGAGGAGTTGGTTAAATGCTTAATTGCCCCCTCCCTTTTAGACAATGAGCCTTCCCCAGGTACAAAAAAATATAGAAATAAAGTATAAATTTATTATCGCCCTAAAAAAGACTTTAACAATAACTTTTTACAATGTAAAACTAAGATATAGCTATTTTTATCATAAGTTAATTTGTATCTTTGTATCCATCATGTGAAAGATTGTCTATGTACAAAGTTTCAGGATGATACCTCACTTGGTTCATAAGATATCACTCTTAAACAACAAAAAAAGTATTTTGCAAAAAATGCTGAGTCAGCATAAATAAGAAAACTGAATCCTAAATATGTCAAGAACTGTAAGGAGTTGGAGGTTCCAAATTTCAGATTTTCCTAATTTTTATAAACCCTATAACATAAAAAAAATTAGTAAAGTTCAAAAAATGGGGTGACATTTTTTGTTTTTTCTGCTGATTTGATATGGAATTACCCTTAAAAAAAAAAACTTGTTTAAAAAATATTCTTCATTTTAGGTTAGGAACAAAAAATTTTTAAGAGCCTGGTGCTAGTCCTGTAGCCCCCTCCTATAGAAAGAAAACCAACAGGACTACCCTGTAATATTTGTCCAACTTTTGTTAAGTATTTTATATAAATTTTTGATTTTATATATACATATTTTTTCTTTTTTTTTTTCATTGTTCATATATATATATATATGAACAATGAAAAAAATTTCTAAATATAGAAAATATAATAAAAAATAATTTTTGTAATAATTTCAATTTACTATTATAGAATAAATAATGATAATTAATTTCATTATTTTGGAAACTTTATATTATTTTCAAAAATTTTAGTCAAATAATCAAAATGTACTTTTATAAACTGGAAATAAAAATTTATATCAAACTTAGTTCAGCTATATAAAATATTTACTAAATTAATTTATTAATCCAATATATTATATTAACTTCAACGACTTCAAAGATTTATTTACTAAGTATGTTTGAGCATGTTTATAATACGAAAATAAAGAAAACATAGATTTTGCATTTCAATATTAAAAACACTTTAGCGCATCTTAATCGAATTATTTTATGACTTTTAAAGAATTTTAAAATGTAATACCAATTACATTAAATATGATTTTAATATTTAATGTAATTGGTATTAAATTTATTATTGTTTTTTAAAAAATGGAGTTAAATGTAAATCTGAAAAAGAAGTTTTGTTTGTAAGTATGTTTTTTTAAAAAACTAGGAAAAACTGAATTTGTTTGTTTCATTTATTTTCAATTAATTTATGTTTTATTTATCTGTAGAGATCTTACATTAATGAACAAGAAGAAATCATATCACAGCTAAGAACAGAAGTTCGAGAACTAAAGTATGTGTATATATATGTATATATGTATGTGTATGCATAGATGTGTACCTGTTAGTTGTGTGTATGTATAAACGCACACAAAAAAAATCAATGGTGTTCTAATTTAGAATGAGAATGTTGAAATTTTTAACTTTTTAGTCTTTTTTTTTCCACATCTTGATAAAAATAGAAAAGATATGACAAAAATTTAAAAAAATATTGGCTTTCAAATCAGAATTAAAAATATTAAAAAAATCCCAAAACCTGGTCAAATAAAAACTAGTTGATAAATCAAACAAAAAATACCTAAATTTTAAAATTTAATAAACTTTTTATTGACTGTAAATGTATTTAAAAAAGTTTTATTAAACTTTTTAAAATACATTTACTTTCAATATGAAGTGAAAAAATAACTATTTAAACATTATTTTTTACGTCGTAATTTTACCATCAAATAGAATAAAGTTAAGAAGCTAAAAGTTCTTTTTAACAATATTACTAGAAAAAATCTTTAAAAAAAAAATTTTTTTTTTAAACGTAAATGTTTTATTTTAGTATTAGTTTTTATTTAAATCTAACTAATTTTATTTAACAAGCATATGCTATTCTCATTGTGGATAGCAATCCTTGTGAAATTGATGTTTCTTCTAGTGGTACAGGAATTCTTTGATAAATACCAACAATAAGGGTATATGTGTGTTTTCCTTGTCCATTACATCTTTTAATATTGGATTGTTTGCATTTTGCAGGGGGACTTTTTTCGGGGGGATTTTCTCCTATAATCTTTACTCTCTAATCTTTGTGATGTCACTATGATACATTTTACCTTTGAACTTTGTACGATCATATTTTCGTAATTAATTTTTATTTTAAAATACTATTTTTAAAAAACATTTTAGCTAATTTCAGCATTTTTATTATATAATGAAATAAATTATCTAATAAATTATAAAACTTTAAAATGTTAAATAGTTTTATAACTTATTATAACTTTCAATAAAGTTAATCTTTTGCCTTTTGAAGTAATGGTTAAGATTGTTCCTTGCTTCTTTACTGACGAAGGAATTGGACATAGCACTTTCTATCCTTTTGTCTTAAAGAATAGAAATTGATTAAAGAAATTACTGAATCCAAGCGCTTGCCAAAACATAAAGGTCTAGATAAAAAAATAAAAAATGTCCAGGAAATCTGTAGACTGATGCTTGACATTAATTCTCCCATCAATGCTACCAATATAAAATGTCCTGAATTCTATGCAAAAGAATTGTCTCCCCTTCCTTTTGTGGGCACTGATTACATGGGTTTCTCAACTAAATCACAGCAAATACACTGCATGCAGGTTGATATTCACAATTTTTATACTACAAGCAATCCAACAATAGAAAATAGCAACTTAAATCCCAATAGTTCTCACTCTGTTGAATGTGATACCCATGCTTCCTTCCTGACTGAGCTATTTAATAATATGGCTATTGAGCTAAAATCTTCTTTGAATCTATTCATGGACTCAATTAGTGAAAAGTTGCATAATTTGTTCATGGATTTTGAAAAACCTTCTAAATCTATTAACAAAAAGCACAAATAGACCCAAAATCTTATTTATAACAAGACCCAGCTTTCTGTTGATGACTGGCCATTCCTTCTGACTGCTAGTGTTACGACTCCTAAATCAATCCTCCCTGATCCTTGCCCTCAAACTCAAGTTAGCTCATTAACTATTTAAACTCACAAAAGTGTATTAAATTCAGTATCAAAGGATTCTATTACTAATGCTCACTTATTTGTTGATCACGCTAATGATTACGACAATGGTTTTTGCCTACCTGGTAATTCTCTTTCTAATGAGACCTCTTAACCAGTATCAGACCCTACTGATTTCCACACTGTCACTTATCTGAAGAAAAAGCAAAAGCAAAAAGTGCTTATTGGTTCTGGAAAAATTCCAAATAATTTGTCTCGTTAAAACCACTTTATTCTTTCTCGTTTATTGTCAACTGCTTCTGCTGAAGAATTAGCAGAATTTGTCAACACAAAATTTAATACTTAAGCCACTTGCTTAAAAATCTTTACAAGTAAATATCACTCTTCTTTCAAAGAATCTGTCTCTACTGGAGATGCTGCCAGGCTCTACAACAGTAGCAAATGGCCAGATAATGTGCTCCTGCGTCTTTTCTTTGAGAATGACATTTAGAATTTGTTGCTTTAATTGTTGTAGTGTACAAAGTTCCACACATGAAATATTACTCTTGTCTGCCACATATGATATCATTTGTCTCTAAGAAATTTGGCTACTTAACACTGAACTTAGTTTCTTGAACAACATTGTAACTGATTTTTTTGGCTTTGGAGTGTCTCCAACTGTTTCTTCAGCAGGTTTTGTTTGTGGCAGACCTTTTGTTTGTGGGAGACCTGCAGAAGACAGAAGATTCTCTCTCCTACAGGTCTCGAGTAATTACTACTGATAATTCATGGTCTGTTGCTATCCAGTTTATTAATGACTTTCTGATAAGTTCACAATTATCAATGTCTACATGCCTTGTGATTCATATGAGAATGTTAATAAGTATCTCGAATGCCTTGGTAGTCATTCAGCTCTTATCTCAGATTTAAATGGTAAATTTGTTATTGCTGGGGTGACTTTAATTGTGATCCACAATTCTGATTTTGTCTCAGCTGATTTATGTCTACCACATGATCCTTTTACCTTTGCTAGTGAAGCATGGGGCACCTCTTCTGGGATTGATCACTGCCTTGTCTCTCAAAGTATGTTAACTTCAATATAACTCAGTCCACCAGTTCATCTGATCAATTTCCCCTGGCATTTCATATCTTGTTTAAAATTAATGTCTCTTCCTTCTCAACTGCTCACCTTACTTCGACAAGATCTCATAAAATAAATTTTAATTCCTTGTCAACCATTATGATAAAAGAGTATATTTCTACTGTGTCTAACTTGGTGTCTTTAAATAATATGGATCAGTTTGAAGTAATTAACTGCAGTAATGTTCATTGTTACTCACATGAGTACATTAAGCAGATAACTACCTGTACAATATACTGAATGAATGTCTTACTCAATCTTCATTTCTGTGTCTTAACCATTCTAAATCAAGTTTCAATAAAAAATAACCTATGCCAGGTTGGACGGATTATGTAAAAGATGCTCATAAGGCTGCTAGAGATGTATTCTGTCTACGGCATAGCTATAACAAATAAAGATTTGGTCAATTCTTCAATCCTTTTAAAAATGCTAGAGCTTTATATAAATATGCCATTCTTCTCTGTAAAAAAAAAGAAAATACTATAAAAGAAGAAGAGCTGGCAAACAGTTTAGCAAATAAGAACTATACTAGTTTCTGGTCTACCATGACTTGTAATCGCAGTGATAAATGTAGCCTTCCATCTTCTTTTGGCTCTGCTTCAGGTCC